GAGGAACTCGGAGATATCGGTCTTATTAAAGTATAGTGCTCCTAGGGATCCTAGAGCTAGTAATACAGAGAAATAAGGCACTTAAACTGTGTAAGGATAAGGTATAGCCTATACCCTATTAGGCGGTTCGGCTAAGGATAATAGTGGCTAGTGCTTATAATCCGTATTATCCGCATAATTATCACCACTTAGGGTCGATTCGGATCTTTCTGATATAGGTTCACAGTAATCTGTGAAGGTTAGAATACCCTTAGGGTCCGATAGCTTAGGAGCTATCACACCTTATATGCTGTGCGCTATTGCTTGCTTATTAAAAAGAGATAGCTTTTCGGCCGAAAAGAAATACTGACTCTGTGCGCTTTACTTTTAATCGTATCTCTTTAATAATTCTTTTTCTCCTTCCTTTTTCTTATTAAGGCCACTTCCTCTTCTTATAATTTATATTATAGAATTGTTTGTATTAATATTATCTGTGTGGTGGAGTGCTATAGCTATCGGATACCTGGGTACCCCTGCTCGGCCACCGCATTTAATTAGATAGGCTATATCTTTAGTAGTATCTAAAGTACCGCCGCATCTCCCGTATACTAGTCCGATAGTATTCCTCGTAGGAACTGGGTGTATTCAGGAGAACACTATATCTCGGCTAGTCACTCATTTATCCGCACCGACTATATGCCGTCGTAATCACTGGTGAATATGGTCTCCCGCTTAAGGTCTCAGATAGTCTTATAGCCTTTAGGGTCAAACGCGATCCCCACCCTTTAGGTATATGTTTCTTTGTATGGTGATGTGCCTTGACAAAAGAGCCTTCCCGGGACGCCAATATGAAATAGGAACGGCTCAATAGCTGTCTGGCGATACAGACTGGACAACACACACACACACACACACTGCCTGTCTGGTATAGAGGATGCTGGGTGAGGCCGTACTGATGCCCTGTTGCGGCCGTGCGGGATAATCTTAATACTGCATCATGGATAGAAGAAATTAGGTGAATCCTGAATGAATTTGGGTAGATGACTTTTTTCCCTCCAAGTGTGTCTGGAGATGTACTATGCACTGCAGACATTAAATCATGCCTGAGGCCACACATAGGCTCATTATGTCACCAATTCTCCCACTACATTAGGTATATATTTATTACGCCTTCTTTCTCTATAAGATAATATAGGCGGTTATTATAGCTTTATTCGGTCCGAAGAGGATATCTCGGTCCGAAGAGGATATCTAACTTAGCTAATATACTAAGGTCTATTTAGCGGCTATAACTAACTAAGTATTTAGAGATTAAACCTTCCTTACGAAATTATAGCGTTATAGAGAATATATATTATAGATAGCTATATACGCTACTTATAAGCCTTAATAGAGTTCTTAGAGCTTATATAAGGTCTTAGTGTGCTTTAAATACTTCTTCTTATATATCGGACTATAAAGTATCTAGAGTTAAGTAATTATCTCTAATATATATAAATTATAGTAAAATACTTCTCTACCTCTTAATTATAGGGCTTATTAACCTATAAGGGATACTAAGTAAACTAATTTAGATATTACTAGTTATATAGATCTCCTTTACTTAGTTAGTGCTATATCTCTTAGTATCTTCTAGGGTCTAAAGCTAATTATTAATTTTTTGTACGAAGCTATTTATAGTATTTATCCTACCCTATAAGAGCCTATTACTTCTAAATATAGCGATATATATTAGGTAAAATCTTAGTATAGTTTTATTTATCGTTATTATCTAATATTAGACTACCTTATAGGATTATACTATCTTATTTAGTCTATACTAAGTTATTTAGATTTATATTAATATATCTAAAATAAGTCTATTTCTTAGGTATAATACTCTTTATATAGTATAAGAAGGAGATTAGTTAGTAAGCGTAGTCTAGCCAAAAAAAAATATAGTATATATAGTACGCTAGATCCTAACGGATAAGCTATTAAATAATATTATACTATATATTCCTTAACTACCTAAGGCGAGGCTTACCTATATAAGATAGATAGTAATAGTTCTATATATCTTTCTCCTTATATATAAGAGTAAGAAGGCTACCTAAGTAATACCTATCGAAGTCCTTCTTTAATTAGCTAAATAATTACGGAATAACTATACTCCCTGGCTCTTATATTTATAACTTTAATATAATAGGTATAGGTATTATAGGGTTAGGAGTAAGAGATACCCTATAATAGAGGCTTTTAAAGAATAACTAGGTTACCTTATAATAGTTAGCGATAATAAGAGGATTAGACTAATACTTAAAGCGATAAAAATCTAACTATAACTTATTATTGGAATATAGACCAATGCTACATAGAAAGATCTATCCTTATATTCAACATATAAGACCAGATTGCATTGATCACGTGACCAGATTTTTCTTCTATCAAAATGATGTTTTGACCACTTCTGATTCTGGTCCGCGGCCCTCCCCCGAACGATAGGCGGGACCATTTTCCTTTAGGGGTAAATGGTCCGCCTTCAGGCATGAATGGTCTGTTCCTTCGGGGGTGCCTTCGGGCATGCCTTGCCCGCGGACTTTGACCATGGTCTTCGGACCTCGGTGAACAGACTTTGACCCTCGGTCCCCTTAAGGATAGGCGGACCACTTTCCCTTAGGGGTAAAATGGTCCACCTTCAGGCATGCATAGCCTGATCCTGCGGGGGTGCTTTCGTGGTGGCTTAGACCGTCGATCCTTGACATCATTCTTTTCGCTTCTCTTCGGTTCCCTTCTTTGCCACCTTCATTATGTTGCTGCCTAGTGTTTGTATGTCATTTATATGTCATTCTAGACGTCATTTCTAGGCTATCCTAGCCTATAAATACGTCCTTCTTTCCTGAGCAGATAGAATCAAGTCATTGTCCACTTTCCAAAGTCATCTCTACCTTCTTCCTTTGATCCTCAGGACTGTGGTTCTGCCTTCGTTTAGGCTATATCTGCTTATAGTCTATCCTACGACCTTTGACCTTCTACCTTTGTCTGGCACCGACTGACCTAGCCGGACTAAGGTTGATCTCACGGACTTAAGGGGCCACGATCTGCTTCGTGGTAGCTTTACCCTTATATCCTGACAATATCTAAGTCTAATAATCTAGATCTTAGAATTTATTTTATATAATAACTAAAATACCTATAAGGAATCTAAATTAGTAATTATTTAAATAAGTCTCTATTTATTTTATAACTAAAGAAAGCTTTCGATTTAGGGTATTTTTAGTATTAAAAAAAAAGATATATTTACTATTATATAAATATAGTACTCTCACTCTCCCTTTAATATATATTTCCGTAACAAAACTCTTAACTTTCTATAACCCCCTTAAAAATTAGCTATCCACTATATAATTTAAATTAAATTTCAGAATACTAAGATAATAATATATAAGTTATCTATTTATAATCTAATTTCTTTAAATTTCGTAGATATTAGTATATAATTAAGGAATAATAGAAATAGATACTAGAATAGCTATAAATAATAGTATTTTTATAAGCTGAATTATTAATTTTATATATCCGAATTAGGAAAGGCGCGGAGAAATTATATATTTAAGAGTCTGACGGACCCTCCGCGGGTGACCCTTAAGGGGCCCTTAGAGGGTTAGGGTCAGGGTTAGGGTCGGTGAGGTTGGACCCTAACCCTCGGAGGTGCGGGTGGAGGTTCCTGATATTGGACCCGTGGGGCGGGTAAGTGCCAGGTCTAGTCGTCAAGGTTCAAATTCCGAAACAGATATGCATCCACAAAGCGATGAGTATGACCTCTTTAATACCAAGCTTCAATTTGCCGTGTCTGTTGGGAAATCGCGCAAGAGAGCACAAGGAAAAGGCACTTCCACCAGATTTAGAAACCCCCTGACGAGACCCTAGCGTCATCTACTCTCTTCAAACTTTCTGGCCAGTCCCTTTAGGTTCGGTCCAGCCGGAATCCCCGCAATCCCTGTGCTACGGACAGTGCGGAGGCCCGCGACATAAGCGGGGCTGTAATGGGATTAGAACGGAGGTCGCCGCGAACCATCTCTGGTAGCACATCATGGGTCATATTTCATTTTATCATTACAACTGCATTGCCCTGTGATGTGTGGAGTAGATAACTCAGCGTGAGGACCGATCAAAACAAATACACTGATTCAAGGAGATTGGGTACCAAGACGTTGTAAATGAGTGGATGGACACTCACTATGTCGCAAGATGCAACTTGAGAAAATCACCTGGCGAACATCTTGCCCGAGGACAGCAGACTTCGCTATTCCGATTGTCGTTGTCCTCTCCTCAATGTTTGAAAACACAAGGAAATCAGGACAGACCGGGCCGATGGAAACATCGTAGCTGCATACTTTCCTCATTTTCCCGAAAGTTTCCTAGCGACGCCGAACAATTGACCGACCGCGGCTCATGCTGCGTCAGCCTGTACTTTGCTTCCTAAAAACCCTATTGAGGAATCATAGAAAACAGCACGATGCCAAAATATATTCACTCTCCCTTCAAGATTTCCCGTTTCTCCACTCATTTTGAGTCATCGGACTGATGAGCTGCTCTTATCATCAAACCATCGGGTTGCGTTTTCCTACCTGCACGCTACGATATGGCTCACCTTCGAGAGACTGACCGTTTAAGGGTCGCCTTCTTCTATGGGCCTGCTGGAAACACAGAACTCAAGTTTTTTCGGTAAAGTATAAGATGATCACCGAGAAGAAAAAAGCAGAATTTAAATTGCAACATGTTTGTCGGCGAGGGGGCGTGGCGCAAGTGCTCTCGATTCCGATCAGTATCGGATAGTAGATGATGGACACTTTTAATCCCAATCGGCTGCAATGCTCATCATGACTAATTGCTTACTCGCCTCTTCGAGATAATGGAGAACGGGGTCCAACGGACATGGAATTTATATTGACCTAGGTACAAGAGATTTGACATGCAAGACAGATTCCTTTGTCACCCAATATTTTTCGTTGGCCTAGATGAATGGGCAGATAGATGACTTAATGGGGATTGTCGTCATTTTGATCAAAGTGTTCTCGAGCCCAAGGGCTCCGAAGGCGAATGGCCTGACCCTTGTAGAAAAATATAAACGGGATTGGTACCAGTAAGATGGAAATGAACCCAAGTAGACTGGATGCCCATTCAAAATCCAGTGTCGAGTACATCTGCGTAGCAAAGAGAGGGAAGCCTGCGCCGACCACATTGCGAACCAAAATGACACCGGCAAGCGCTGACGCTGAGTATGTTTGATAACTGTCGACGACGTAATTGAGAATACTCAGAATCACAATATAAATACCGGCACCGAAGAAGGATGATGCTATAATCGGAACTATCCAGTGAACAGATCGGTAACTGGTCCATCCAAACCAGAAAAGGCTGATAGGAAGGAGGAGTGCACCGCCTCGTGCCATCCACATACGTGCCTCGGGAACTCCCTTGCCACCATTCTCAGCAACGCGCCGGAGGTAATATCGTTCTTGAAGGGGATACAGACAGACGGCAACGATGGGCCCGATCGCCATGCCGAGGAATGCAAGGCCCTGCTGACCAACGTTCCAAGGATGCCCTTTCGGTGCGCCAAAGACCAAAGGAATTGCTTCATTGAACAGATACACAAGACCGTAAATGAATCCATTGTATATCGCTGAAAAAAGTGTGATGGGTTCCGAGAACAAGAATCGGAAAGGGCGGGTCAGGGTAATAGCGAATAAATCATGCAAGCCTTTTCGATCACTGGCATGGAAGTCGACGGTCGATTCCGCTGATCGCAAATTCTCTTTTGCCATCAATTTGCGTGCGCGTTTAGCTTTCTTCTGCAAAACAGTCGTATGACGAGTTTCAGGAATTGTGGTGACTAGAATGATCCAAACGCCGCCAGAGATGGCCATGAGAACCCAGAAGATCATTCGCCACCCACAGTTCAGACCAATATAACCTGTGATGACTAGAGCCATGGGAGGTCCAAAGGTACTACTCAGACCATAAACAGCCATGGGGCCTCCACTCTCATTTCTTTCCCATAGATCACTAATGCTACCTCCGGTATTTGTCAACGGAGCACCTCCAGCACATCCCGCGATAAACCTGCAGACCAATATGGTTCCGATGTTGGGTGCAAGCGCAAGAGGGAGTTGGAAAATGAACAAAATGAACCACGACACCACGTAGACCGGCTGACGGCCATAGTATTCCGACAGCGGAGCAAGGAGGACTGGGCCGATGGCGTAACCCAGCACATAAAGCGATAAGCACAGGGTGGTGATTTCACCAGAAACTCCAAACTCTTTCTGGATTCCTGTTGCCCCAGACGAGACACCCCCGGCGCACCAAGTGCTATTTTCATGGATTAGAGGGTGTTGACGCGGATACATGAAGAATTTGGACATACGTGAATACATTGAGCAAGCTCACGAGAATGGTGATATACCACTTTTTCCACTTCGGCCAGTTTCGCGGATTGTCGCCATCGTCGAATCCGTAGGTAATGATGATTGGGAGTGCATCATTCGGACTGCTTCTAGCTTTCGCGAGAGCCTGATCTTCGGACAGAACCAGGCTTGAAGATTCACCGAAGCAGTCCGTGGTTTTCTCCACATCATAGGTCTCGCCAGTCTGCATTTCTGTCGTGGTAGACGCCATAATTCCCCCAGCTGATATGTGAGGATTAAGCCGGGAATGAAAGAAGCGAGGGGCAAAGCAGCATGAGAAATGGGGAGGCGTAACATTTCGACCGATCGGAGCCCTTGTCGCATGGAGGGCCTTTCTTCTCCACAAAATTATTCCCCGAGCACGACCGCGACAGGCAACGCTTGCCACTTGTCCCGGCTACCTCACAAGGTGGTGGGTCGGCGTGCCGAAAAAAAGAAGCAATAGGGCGCAATGCTTGGCTGATTACGGCTCCACTCGACAGTCCCATCTGCCTCCGGTGAACAAATTACTAATCACTATAGAGAACGCCCTCGTTTTTGTGTGTCATTGAGGAATATAAGATATTTTACCCTTCGGCTCATGCTTATCCGGTCGCGCTATTTGGGTCGATGTAATCATGGCGCTCACCGAGAGGCTTCACGACCGTATACTTGGGCTATTGGCTTCAATCATTGGAGTATCACGTCCACACTGCACCTACATATAGAGCTCCACGTGCCGTTTCACTTTAGTTCACATCAATTGCCGGAGTCTGTCTGGAAGTTGGTTCATAAGCACGCCGGGATAATGTGGAGAGTGTCGGTGTCTCGGGCGAGAGTTTGCGATCGGCATAGGTTCGAGCTGTGCACACGTACCCGGCACCAGCCTGGGGAAAATCCCATCTTCATACGCGTGACTCCGTGGGGTCCCGGAACTTCTCCCTTTCGATCCCTGAACCTCCAGAGGAAAGTGAATGTCATTTTCTGGATTTTGAGCCGGTAACGTGTCGGTCCGGTTAGTTTCAGCCTCCAAACTCCTTTCAGTTGACTACTATCACACGTCTGTTGATTGTTCTCGTGGAAGACGCTTCGAGCGTTATTAGTACCTTAATGTCATTGGTCACCTACCTGGCTGGGGTTCGTCTTCTACTCATTTAATGCATGCGTTGATTCCTACGATGACCCAGTTCCAGACTGCCCAATCCATACGGTGGCGTCGAAAGATTTGGCAAGAGACGCGACACCCTTACAGACAAGTCACAAAATTCCCTCGTAAGCACCGTGAAGGTGCATTCAGCACTGAGTTCTGGGTGGTATACTGCGCTTTTCCTGCTCCGCCAATCCACGCGACCATCTGTAGCCCCGTTGACCCCGACTCATTAACGTGCACGTCATTCCACCTTCGTTTTTTAGTAAGAATTTGAACAGGTCCAATTTTTATAATAAAGTGACTGGATGACCAGGGTGAAATCTATCATCCAATCCGTACTTTAGTGCTGTTCATAGTGAATAGAATTGTGTCCCAACCTCATATTCGAAAGTATTCTTCGTACTACCATGGGTGGTGAATTCCTTTCGAGGCATACTGGGTCTTGTTTATATCAACCTGGCTGTGAAGCAGCCAGGATTTAATTTTTTCTTGGCTACACATCGACAAGCAAGTCTGGTGCTGGTGACGTCATCGACATTGTTGGTATCTCTTCGGTTGATAGCGAAGAAGAAAGGAAGTCCGATCGGCCCCGCCTGCCAGCCCTCCCCCCAGCCCGGGACTCTTGCCCTTGGCTCTCGCAATTACAATTGGTCCATAATTGAAAAGTCACATTGGCCGTGGCTGAGACTTCATAAAAAGCACCAACAACGATGATCTTAGCTCCCAGAGCGTTGAACATACTATAAGTAGACAAACATCATTTCCCATCTAACACTCTAGCCTGATAGCATGCAAAGTTAATTTATCAAAGACCGCTGGCTAATCACTTTGGGGCTGCTGCGGAAGAAGACCCTGGTATGTTCAAGATATGGAAAACAAGAAAAAAGAGGACAGCAATCGATTTAATCAGGCGATGGAGAACTAAAAAAGAAGAAGATACAGTAAATTCCTTTCGAAGCAAGGCATTCAGGCCAACATTAACATCAGGTCTCGGTCCTTTTAAAGAAAGAAAAAAAGTAGACGATACTGAGACGGGTCATGTAGTTATCATCAAGTGATTCTTATTAGATAATGAAATGGGAACGGCTCGATGGCTGTCTGGCGATGCAGACTGGACAACACACACACACACACACACTGTCACGGGCCCATGCCCGGTATAGGTCACATAAACCACGTGACCCTGGCATGTTGACGGAACGAACGCACGGAGGGAACATCCCTTCTTCAAGCTTTTTGTACACAGTTTGTGGCCTAGTCAGATTGAATCTAAGTCTTACTTCAGCCCTTCACATACAAAAAGCTTCCTTCGATTTACTATCGTTAAACCGACGAAGCACCGACGAAACACGACCGTTTCCCCCACGAAGCCGTATCCCTAGCGAGGATGCAGCACTAGGAAGCGACAAGCCCACTATTATAGGCACAGACGCTACTATAGTAAATAGCACAGACCTAAGCTATGCAGAACGAAGAACGAGAGCGACGCAACCAATAAGACGCCGTTCAAGAAGAACGAATCTGGCGCCTCGAAGCAATGCTAGACCAATAGGTCCTACTTACTACGACGACGACCACGGAAGAATAAGCGACACCGTCACAAATCGCTACTAAAGTAACGGCGGAACACCTACGAAACGAAAGGCCTTATCGTCTAAAGGCACGACTACCGGACCCTATCCTATTCGGTGGTAACATAAACGACTGGCTAACCTAGCGTATAATAATCGAGAACAAACTAAGCGTTAATAGATAAGCTATTGGTTCGCCCCAGGACTAATTTATATATATATTCTCTAGGCTAGAGAAACTCGCCTAGAAGAATAGCGGAACGTTCGTGAAACTACGCTGAGACACCGGCGACCCTTAGGCACTGTTAAACTACCTCGAGAATATCTATAGAGACCCAAATATTAAGGCACACGTAGCGAGACAGTTACACCAGATCTGATAACCCGATAGAATAACCTTTTCGAAGTTCCTATTACGACTAAAAAAGGAGTTTACGGACGCAGACGCCCTAGACTGGTACGACGAAGCTAAGAGGCAGATCCTCCTCGGGGCACTTAATAAAATAATAACTAATTCACTTATGAATCGTAGTATTCCCGCTACCTTTTCTGAACTGATCTCTAGACTCCACGAAATTAGTACGGATATAGATACCCTTAATATTAATAAAGCCGAGCGAACGGGTTATCTACGCTTACCGAGAGCGAGCGATAATATAGGTTGGACCCCGACACTCGCAGTAAACCGCGCTGAACCCCGCACGAAAACCTAATAACTAGGTAGCGATACCCCTAGACGAGCCTAGTGGGTAAGTCCCGATAAGTTAGACAGACGGTAAGCTAAAGGGAAGTGCCTACGATATAGTAGAGCGGGCTATTATATTACTGAGTGTATACTCCTACCCGCCTAGCGACCGAATTATCTACGAATTATAATCGGTTTAGGACAGAAAGGGAAGAAGCATAGCACCCACATAAATAAGGCGAGACCGGTAAGCGATAGCGAAGTAACGCCCACAGATAACGACGATACGGCTATAGAGGAAGATTCGGGAAAAGAGTAGCTCCTATCCTTAGCCACAAATAGGAGCAAAAGGGGGTCAAAAAGCTACTAAAACGAGAGACACTACTATTCTTAGTCGACGCTAAAGTAAACGGAATTCAATTTATATAAGCTCTAGTCGATAATAGTTACCGTTACTATACTATAGTAAACAAGCCTCTAGTCCAGTTACTTTACCTCCCGCGCATTAAGATACGACCACGAATCCTCGACGGAGTAATACCGAATTAGTACCGAATCACCCACGCTACGTATTTCGACCTCGACGTCTATGGCCACTAGCAAGGCCGGGTATTTATATATATTATCGGACTATAGGATAATAGTATAATACTCGGGGACCTATAGCTACACGACGTAAACGGACGCTATTCGGCCAGAAAGGGGTACCTAAATATCTTTATAAGGTCCGGGGAACGAATAAGATATTGGAACCGCGCAGATCGTACGATCAGACCCATCGGAGCGAAGGCACTATATATCGTATAGGCTATAGCGCTAACGATTAAAGAGCTCTTACGGAACGTATTAAGCACGGAACGCGTACGAATCGGTAGGGTTTCGCTAGATAATATTAAGAAAGCGCTACGACCCAAAGAGTATATTAACCTAAAAGGATAAGCTACCAAAACACTACTAGCGATAGTTAGAGGTCTTTAGCTAACAGCTAGCTAATAAATTACTACCCTATCGGCCTAGAGTCGATCACAAAATTCCCCCTAAAACGCGACCGAAATAGCGTCAAAGAGTTACCGCTATACGGACCCCTTTATGGCATAAATAAGGAAGAACTGCTTTATCTACGGAAGACACTAACGGACCTACTTAGGAAGAACTTTATATAGGTAAGCTAATCCCTAGCAGCCGCACTTATTCTACTAGTTCGGAAGCCCGGGGGAGGCGTACGATTCTATATTGATTATAGGGGGTTAAACGAGCGAACGGTGAAAGACCGATACCCCCTCCTACTGATCCGCGAGACGCTACGGAACATTAGCTAAGCCCGATAGTTTACGAAGCTTAATATTATCGCAGCTTTCTATAAAATCCGCGTATAACTAGGAGAGGAATAGAAAATAGCCTTCCGGACGCGATATAGACTTTACGAATGGAACGTCACACTATTTAGGCTAATAGGCGCACTAGCGATATTCCAAAGGTATATTAACCAGACCTTATAGGAGTACCTAGACAACTTTATATTAGCGTATATCGATAATATAATTATCTACTCTAGCGGAACGCTATCGGATCACCGACGGAAAGTTAGTGAGGTGCTATAGAAGCTAATAGACGCGGGTCTTTAATACAATATTACGAAGTCAGAATTCGAGTAAGACTTAGTGAAGTACCTCGGTTTTATTATCTAAGCCGGAAAGGGTATCTATATAGATCTAAAGAAGGTAGAGGTAATCAGAGTATAGGAGAGGCCAGAGTCTATTCGGGACGTACGGAGCTTTATCGGATTCGCGAACTTTTACCGGCCG